CACATCCAGCCCTCTCACTCTCTCCTTCATTTCTACCCCACACCTCTCCCTCCCTCCCCCCCGCTCACCCTCTCCTTACAGCACCCCGTGTCCCTCTCACTCTCTCCCTCCCTCCCTCTCCTGGCCTCCCTCAGGGCTCCTAATCGGAACGAATCTCCCCAACAATCTCAACAGACCCCTCTGCCTCTCTCCCTCTCCATCTCCTCTCCCGCCCTCCCTCTCTCCACCTCCTCTCCCACCCTCCCTCTCTCCACCTCCTCTCCCGCCCTCCCTCTCTCCACCTCCTCTCCCACCCTCCCTCTCTCCACCTCCTCTCCCGCCCTCCCTCTCTCCACCTCCTCTCCCGCCCTCCCTCCCGCTCTCTCCCTGCCGGTTCCTAATCGGCACGACCCTTCCCGGCAGCCCCACGGCGCCCACGGCCGCGGCGATCTGCCGCAGCGTCCGTCTCTGCTCCGCCGCCGCCCCCGTCTGCGGCCGCCCCCCCTCCACGTCCCGGCGGCCTCCCTCTCTCGCTCTCCCTACCTCTCGCCTCGTCGCCTCCACCGCCCTCTCCACCAGTCTGTCGACCGTCCTCTCGTTCCCCCTCGCGGCAATATCAAACCGAGCTTGCTGCGCCTCGGTCCTTGGCCGCGAGTCGCCGACCCTCTGATCCACTCGCCTCCTCGCGTCTGCCTGTCTGTCCCACGCAGATCTCTCCGCCTCCAGCCTCTCTCTCCCCGCCTCCTCCCTGTTGAGCGTCCTCTCTTCGCCAATGGCTCGTCTCACCCACGCCGTCAGCAGCCTGGCTCTCTCCGCGTTGGGCATCGCCATCTCCACGTCCTCCCCGCGGGGCACCGACCGGTTCACCAGCCTCCTCATGGGCATCTCTCTCCGCCACTGGTCCCTGTCTGCGATGAGCCCCTGTCGGGCCCGCACGCCCGCAGCAGCCGGCTCTCTCCTCGGCTCCCTCTCGACCCCCCTCTCTCCCCCTCGCCTCGCTTCCTCCTCCCTGCCGCGTCCTCTCCTCGCTCCCCCTCCACTCTCCATGGCGCTCCTCTGGATGCCGCCTCGGCCCACACACGCTTCCCGTACCGTCACAAACATCGCCATCATCATCGTCAAAACACACGTACACACACAGATACACACGCAGATACATACACACACACAGACACACACACAGATACACACGCAGACAAACACATATAACAATAACCGCCATTCACCACTAAGTGGCGGTGATGTCACCACGACGCTTGTGCCAGGCTATGTGCACCCTGAGGCCACGTGAAGTGTCGAACGCCCGCAGGCAGGAGGTCACGGGGCAGACCCAGGTGCCACGGGTCGACTGACTGAGATGACTGGCTGATGCACCACCTGTGCCCCCTACTGTGTCAACCCGCTGTGCTTTAGCCACCCGGCGCTCCGCTCGTTGTTGTGAGCGTCGCTCCTCCACCCTCCGTTGTTGTTGGAGGGCGACTACCTCCAACTGCCCAGTAGCGTCCTTCACGAGCCTCCTCCACAGAGGCCGATCTTGACACCGCTGGTACCGGTCATCGGCAAGTCCACTCAGCTCCACGTCCCCCTGTACCACATCACTCCATCTCTTCTCTAGCCCGTGCCGCGCCCGCTTAGCCCCCTCAATCCGGCCGAACAGAAGCTGTTTCGGCATGCGGTGGCTGGGCATGCGGGCTACATGACCCAGCCATCGCAGCCTTGCCCGCCGGAGGAGCTCACCGATGGGACCTTGCCCAGATCTTTCAAGGATTTGTGAGCTCCTCACACAATCCAGTCTGGTTAAACCCAGGATGGATCGTAGGCAGGCCAGCCTAAATGTTTCTAACCGGTGAAGATGTTCCATTAGGGGGGTCTACGTTTCGCAAGCGTAGAGAAGGGAGGGAATGACCGTGGCCGAGAAGACCTGAAGCTTAGTGCGGAGCGACAGACAGGGTAGCTTCCACACAGCGTTACGCAACCGATGAAAAGATATTGCCGCTCGACTGATTCAGAGTGAGACCTCTGCTGTTAAACTGGAGCCAGTCATAAGCACACTGCCCAGGTATGGGAAACTCTCCACTTTCTCCACAACTGCCCCATCACCGATTGGGAGTTGTGAGGGTGGAGTGTCCGATGGTACAAAATACCCAGGCAGGTGCTTAGTTTTGGTGGGGCTGATGGTAAGGCCCCACCTCTTAGTGGCACGCTCCAGGAGATTCCCCCGGTACAGCTATTGAAGGCTTCACGAACTACGTGGTCAAAATAGATGTTAAATAATGTGGGAGCCAGAGGACATCCCTGTCGCACCCCAAGGTGTACAGGGAATGGCTCTGACTCCCGGCCACGTTGTTTTACCCGGGCCCGCTCACCATCATGAAGGTCCTTAATGATCGTGAGCAGAGGGTCAGGTACTCCAAAAGCACGAAGAACGACCCAGAGCCCAGGCCTACTGATGGTATCATAGGCCTTGACCAGGTCAATAAAGCAGAGATGTAGGTCTTGTTGGAATTCCCTACACCTCTGCTGTAGCAGACGGAGAGAAAATATGGCATCTGTGCAGGACCGCCCTTTCCTGAAACCGCATTGGGGCTCCGCAAGCCTCTCCTCAGCGTGCCTGGCAAGGCGATGCTGAATAATCCTTGCCAGGACCTTTCCCGGCACACTGAGGAGTGAGATGCCCCTGTAGTTGTTACAGTCTGTGCGTGGTCCCCCTTCTTAAAAAGGGGGACCACACACACACAGAGACACACACACAGAGACACACACACAGAGACACACACATCACACACAGAGACACACACACAGAGACACACACACATCACACACAGAGACACACACACACAGAGACACACACACAGAGACACACACACACAGAGACACACACACAACACACAGAGACACACACAGATACACACAGACACACACACAGATACACAGACAGAGACACACACAGAGACACAAACACAACACAAATGTCTCCCCCGTGTAGTCTCCCTGACGGGCTGCGTGAGGCTTACAGAGACACACAGAGACACACACAGACACACACACAGACACACACACAGACACACACACAGACAGACACAACACAGAGACACACACACAGAGACACACACACACAGAGACACACACACAGACACACACAGAGACAGACACACACAGAGACACACACACAGACACACAGACACACACATACACACACACATACACACACACATACAGACACACACATACATACACACAGACACACACACCGAACGTGAACGCCACCGGCGATGGCCCCCAAGCCGCTGCTGGAAAATCGTCGTTTCGATTTGCGATTATCGATTTGAAATCGATTACTTAACCACGTGATTTGGTGGCGCTGCGTTTGGCAGTGGGGCAACGGGCACACAACACAATTAGCCAAACCCGAACTCAACGGCGTCAGTCGTCGTTAACTCCGGCTTTAAAAAGGGGGGGAATAATATTTAATAGTCGACGTTTCGGGTAACGGACCTTTATCGCACGGTGCACGACCGGCGAGAATCGATATCCGGTGAGCGTCTGTGGCATCGATTAAACGGGAATAGGCCGATTCTAAAGGAATCTACAACCTTCGATTCCTTTGCTCTCGATTTAAAGAGTCGATTCTTGGCGCGCGAGCGTCACTATTCTACTCACGCAGCGCGGCTTGGTTTTATTTTTAAAAGTTTTAACTTTCACGTCTCGTTAAGTTGCTTTAGGAGTCTGTAGTTGTACGAAGTATACCGCAAGGCGTACAGGCCGCAACAATCGAGGCGACTCCTGCGCCTACAATCGCCGGCGGATCAAAGCATCGCCGAAGGTTGATTTGGGCCTAACTCTATCATCATCTGTGCCAGACGTCACGATCATCATCATCATTACAGAGAGAGAGATTGTTCACGATCATCATCATCATTACAGAGAGAGATTGTTCACGATCATCATCATTAGAGAGAGAGATTGTTTACGATCATCATCATTACAGAGAGAGATTGTTCACGATCATCATCATTACAGAGAGAGATTGTTCACGATCATCATCATTACAGAGAGAGATTGTTCACGATCATCATCATTACAGAGAGACATTGTTCACGATCATCATTACAGAGAGAGATTGTTCACGATCATCATCATTACAGAGAGAGAGATTGTTCACGATCATCATTATTACAGAGAGAGAGAGATTGTTCACGATCATCATTACAGAGAGACATTGTTCACGATCATCATCATTACAGAGAGAGATTGTTCACGATCATCATTACAGAGAGACATTGTTCACGATCATCATCATTACAGAGAGAGATTGTTCACGATCATCATTACAGAGAGACCACTTGTGTTGTGGCCGAAACGTCGTAAGAATTTTATTGTGTTATTTTATTTGATCAATTTATTATTTTATTCTCATTCTACGTGATGGTGACTTTACCGAAAGAACCAAAGAAGATGAATCCTTGCAGTCACGAAAGCTTTAAATCGACAAATGAATCTAGATTCTCATTGTCAGTGCAGCAAAGCACAAAATCAATACAGTAACACCATGAAAATACAATTACCGATTGACGTATTGGGAAACTTGTTGCATTCGTATTTTTAAAAAATGTAAAAATTGCAGCAACAACGCTGTTTGCCCCCACCTCCATTAACGCTACAGCGTAAACAGACGGGCGGTGGCAATTAAAAAAAATGATTCCCATTTAAACTTGTAAGTTGCTTTGCCGAGAGATCTCGCTGGTGCCATCTGGATTGCTCTGCAGCAGTGGCGCTGTCTTAATAAATTCCACATTTGTTTTTTTTTCTTGCGTGCACGTACACGGTGTCTGTGCGTCATGCAGGAAGACGGCTATCTGAGGAGTGTGCAAAGAATACAACATGGAGGGGAACGACAATGAAACCTTCGGCCGAAATTTGGGCAGCAGTTTTTCCACGCTCCCTGACTTCAAAATACAGTGCATCTTGGGCAGTGTTTCAGAGAATGAACGAGGTCACCGTCAATCTAGGCAGGTCCGGGAGCCATCGAGCCGTGGCCAGAGTCAGCCAGGGCAAGGTCGCGGTCAAACGGGGCCATTCCAGGTGATGTTGGGTCACGGGTGGTGTCAGATGGGACAAGGTGAAGGTCAATCTGGGGGGCAAATCCAGGGGCCATCGGTTCAAGGTTGGGGTAATAAAGGGCAGGGTCAGCCGGGGGAAGGCGACGGAGTGGCAATTCAAGGCCACAATCAGCCAGGGCAGGGGCCATCGACTCAAGGTTGGGGTAATAAAGGGCAGGGTCAGCCGGGGGAAGGTGACGGAGTGGCAATTCAAGGCCACAATCAGCCAGGGCAGAGCCAATATCACGACGGGAAAAAAAAACCCCAATTGGGCCGAGGTCAGACTCAGCCAAAACAGGGTCAGCGTCAACCCGAGCAGGGCCAGGGACTGTCAGGGCACGCCCATGGTCTGCTGGGGCAAGGCCGAGGTCAACCTAATCAGGGCCTGAGTCAGCCAAGGCAATCTCACTGTCCACTGGGCCAAGTCCAGGAGCCATTGGGTCACGCTTGGGGTCAACTTGGACAAGGTCAAGTGGGTCGTGGTGAAACTGGACAGGTTCAACAAGGTCAAGCACAGAGGATGCTATTGCAAGGTCAGTCAACTTGGTCATGGTCAAGTGACACCGCCAAGGTCAAGGTATTCGTTTCAGCTGTGGATCATGGCCCCGTGTATCGCCTGGCTCCGATCTGTAAACCAATCGCGCCGCTTATTTTACTTAAAACGATCTCAATCCTCCGATGTCCACATTGATCGCCGAGCACGAATTCCGCTTGCGCTTTTCAACCGGCGTTTGACGTCAGAAGTACGGTGCGGCGCTCTGCTTAGTCATTGACGATAACGATGGTTAGGCAGCGCTTGCCCCAGGAACGCAAGAGGCGGTACGTCCGTCACGTCGCGATGAAAAGCGGCTCGTCCTAGGTGTGCGTGCCTAGGGCAGGTGGACCGCGTTGGCTAGGAGACGTTAACTACCTCGCCTGGTACACAGGAGGGTCGGGGGTTCGATCCCGACCCCTGACGCCTGTTGCTGTGTATTTGGAGTTTGTGTGTCTCTCTCTCATCATCATCATCATCACGGTGGCTAGGAGACGTTAGCTACCTCGCCCGGTACGCAGGAGGTCGTGGGTTCGATCCCAACCCTGACGCCTGTTGCTGTGTATTTGGAGTTTGCGTGTCTCTCTCTCATCATCATCATCATCACGGTGGCTAGGAGATGTTAACTACCTCGCCCGGTACGCAGGAGGGTCGTGGGTTCGATCCCGACCCCTGACGCCTGTTGCTGTGTATTTGGAGTTTGCGTGTCTCTCTCTCATCATCATCATCATCACGGTGGCTAGGAGATGTTAACTACCTCGCCTGGTACGCAGGAGGGTCGTGGGTTCGATCCCGACCCCTGACGCCCGTGCGTTTGAAAGTTTGCGCGTTCTCCCCACGGCGGTGTTGATGTTGCTCCATGCCCTGCATTGTTTCCCCGCGCATTTAGAAAAACGTGACGTTTAAGAGTAATGCGGCTGATATACATTGACACGTGGTGAGGAACCACTTTGTTGAGCTTATCAACTGTGGCCAGGTCGCTTCTGAACAAGAGCTACGTATCCGAGCGGGCTCTTACATGGTAAAATAACAAGTTTAGTTTCGTTTAGTTGATGGGTTCCTTTAACGCTGGCTTTTGTCTCCAAAGTTTTTTTGGAAAAAAACGGCTGATATACATTGGAAAAAAACTTTTGGTCAGTTCGCCGATTTTTCTACAGGGCAAGCACTTTATATCAGAACGCAATTTTACTGAAGATTTATTCATATTTATGATGCTCATCATAACCTCTCATTGCCGACAGACACCCCGACTGAGCTGAGCACTAAACCTCAGTTGGAAAGTTCTAAAAAGCGATACGTGTGTCAACGTGTACCAATGTACATCTCGTGCGGTGCTATTATGAACGATGTACTTTAATACTCTTTGGTTCTATTGGGTAAAGTCACGTAGGTGAAAATAAACCCAATAGAACCAATAGAACCAAAGAGTATGGATCCTAGCAGTCACGAAAACTTTAAATCTAGGATGTACTTTAACTTAATTGTGCGCAATTTTTGTTCGCAGCTCAAGCAAACATCACTGAGCAGCATCAACCTCGGCAGAGCACGCCGCCGCCGCCGCTGCCGCCGGTGCCGCTTGATTGGCAAGAGGCAAGATGACTCGCTGATCACATTGAAACGTGTCCACAGATGTGCATCGTTATTTCACATTAATAATACGGTCATTCTAAGAAAATACCGATTCATCTAGTTTCATATTCTCGGTTCTTTCGGTAAAGTCACCACGTAGAAGGGAAACAATACAATAATAAAAATATAAAACAATAAAATTCTCGCGACGTTTCAGACATCTGAACAAGCTGCCAAATCGCTCTCCGTGGTACTGACGTTTAAAAAAAACTTTTTTCAAATTTTCTTGCTGTGGTTTTCACACCTGACGATGATCGCTGCTTGTGTTGCAGTCGAAACGTCGTGATAATGCAATTGTTTTATATTTTTATTATTTTATTGTTTCCCTTTCTACGTGGCGGTGACTTTACCGAAAGAACCGAGAATGTGAATCACTGCAGTCACGAAAGCTTCAAGTGAAAATTTATTTAGTTTCACGAAGCTTGGGGCTGCTGCCACGGTGCGCAATGGTTCAGCACGTTGGACTTGCGGTCCACAAGGTCGTGATGTCCAGGCGTGCCAGGTTTAATAGGCACGTGTCTACAATGTCCCACCTCTGTCCACTCTGCAGTATATATTGGTACACCGCAGTTGAATGGCAGGCCGCATGTGGTGGGGTAAAGTGTGGGTACTACCATCACTTCCAAGACGTCTCCCCAGCATGGAGGAGTTCAGCCCCTAGTGAGGGTTTCTCTACCAAGACGTCTTGAACAGCGTGGAAGAGTTCAGCCCCTAGTGAGGGTGTCTTTACCAAGACGTCTTGAACAGCGTGGAAGAGTTCAGCCCCTAGTGAGGGCTTCTCTACCAAGACATCTTGAACAGCGTGAAAGAGTTCAGCCCCTAGTGAGGGTGTCTTTACCAAGACGTCTTGAACAGCGTGGAAGAGTTCAGCCCCTAGTGAGGGCTTCTCTACCAAGACATCTTGAACAGCGTGAAAGAGTTCAGTCTCTAGTGAGGGTTTCTCTACCAAGACGTCTTGAACAGCGTGGAAGAGTTCAGCCCCTAGTGAGGGTTTCTCTTCCAAGACGTCTTGAACAGCGTGGAAGAGTTCAGCCCCTAGTGAGGGTTCCTCTACCAAGACGTCTTGAACAGTGTGGAAGAGTTCAGCCCCTAGTGAGGGTTTCTCTACCAAGACGTCTTGAACAGCGTGGAAGAGTTCAGCCCCTAGTGAGGGTTTCACTTCCAAGACGTCTTGAACAGCGTGGAACAGTTCAGCCCCTAGTGAGGGTTTCTCTTCCAAGACGTCTTGAACAGCGTGGAAGAGTTCAGCCCCTAGTGAGGGTTTCTCTACCAAGACGTCTTGAACAGCGTGGAAGAGTTCAGCCCCTAGTGAGGGTTTCTCTACCAAGACGTCTTGAACAGCGTGGAAGAGTTCAGCCCCTAGTGAGGGTTACTCTACCAAGACGTCTTGAACAGCGTGGAAGAGTTCAGCCCCTAGTGAGGGTTTCTCTTCCAAGACGTCTTGAACAGCGTGGAAGAGTTCAGCCCCTAGTGAGGGTTTCTCTACCAAGACGTCTCCCCAGCGTGGAAGAGTTCAGCCCCTAGTGAGGGTTTCACTTCCAAGACGTCTTGAACAGCGTGGAAGAGTTCAGCCCCTAGTGAGGGTTTCTCTACCAAGACTTCTCCCCAGCGTGGAAGAGTTCAGCCCCTAGGGAGGGTTTCTCTTCCAAGACGTCTTGAACAGCGTGGAAGAGTTCAGCCCCTAGTGAGGGTTTCTCTACCAAGACGTCTTGAACAGCGTGGAAGAGTTCAGCCCCTAGTGAGGGTTTCTCTACCAAGACTTCTCCCCAGCGTGGAAGAGTTCAGCCCCTAGGGAGGGTTTCTCTTCCAAGACGTCTTGAACAGCGTGGAAGAGTTCAGCCCCTAGTGAGGGTTTCTCTACCAAGACGTCTTGAACAGCGTGGAAGAGTTCAGCCCCTAGTGAGGGTTTCTCTACCAAGACGTCTTGAACAGCGTGGAAGAGTTCAGCCCCTAGTGAGGGTTTCTCTACCAAGACGTCTCCCCAGCGTGGAAGAGTTCAGCCCATAGTGAGGGTTTCTCTACCAAAACGTCTTGAACAGCGTGGAAGAGTTCAGCCCCTAGTGAGGGTTTCACTTCCAAGACGTCTTGAACAGCGTGGAAGAGTTCAGCCCCTATTGAGGGTTTCTCTACCAAAACGTCTTGAACAGCGTTGAAGAGTTCAGCCCCTAGTGAGGGTTTCTCTTCCAAGACGTCTTGAACAGCGTGGAAGAGTTCAGCCCCTAGTGAGGGTTTCTCTTCCAAGACGTCTCCCCAGCGTGGAAGAGTTCAGCCCCTAGTGAGGGTTTCTCTACCAAGACGTCTTGAACAGCGTGGAAGAGTTCAGCCCCTAGTGAGGGTTTCTCTTCCAAGACGTCTTGAACAGCGTGGAAGAGTTCAGCCCCTAGTGAGGGTTTCTCTTCCAAGACGTCTTGAACAGCGTGGAAGAGTTCAGCCCCTAGTGAGGGTTCCTCTACCAAGACGTCTTGAACAGTGTGGAAGAGTTCAGCCCCTAGTGAGGGTTTCTCTACCAAGACGTCTTGAACAGCGTGGAAGAGTTCAGCCCCTAGTGAGGGTTTCACTTCCAAGACGTCTTGAACAGCGTGGAACAGTTCAGCCCCTAGTGAGGGTTTCTCTTCCAAGACGTCTTGAACAGCGTGGAAGAGTTCAGCCCCTAGTGAGGGTTTCTCTACCAAGACGTCTTGAACAGCGTGGAAGAGTTCAGCCCCTAGTGAGGGTTTCTCTACCAAGACGTCTTGAACAGCGTGGAAGAGTTCAGCCCCTAGTGAGGGTTACTCTACCAAGACGTCTTGAACAGCGTGGAAGAGTTTAGCCCCTAGTGAGGGTTTCTCTTCCAAGACGTCTTGAACAGCGTGGAAGAGTTCAGCCCCTAGTGAGGGTTTCTCTACCAAGACGTCTCCCCAGCGTGGAAGAGTTCAGCCCCTAGTGAGGGTTTCACTTCCAAGACGTCTTGAACAGCGTGGAAGAGTTCAGCCCCTAGTGAGGGTTTCTCTACCAAGACTTCTCCCCAGCGTGGAAGAGTTCAGCCCCTAGGGAGGGTTTCTCTTCCAAGACGTCTTGAACAGCGTGGAAGAGTTCGGCCCCTAGTGAGGGTTTCTCTACCAAGACGTCTTGAACAGCGTGGAAGAGTTCAGCCCCTAGTGAGGGTTTCTCTACCAAGACGTCTTGAACAGCGTGGAAGAGTTCAGCCCCTAGTGAGGGTTTCTCTACCAAGACGTCTCCCCAGCGTGGAAGAGTTCAGCCCATAGTGAGGGTTTCTCTACCAAAACGTCTTGAACAGCGTGGAAGAGTTCAGCCCCTAGTGAGGGTTTCACTTCCAAGACGTCTTGAACAGCGTGGAAGAGTTCAGCCCCTAGTGAGGGTTTCTCTACCAAAACGTCTTGAACAGCGTTGAAGAGTTCAGCCCCTAGTGAGGGTTTCTCTTCCAAGACGTCTTGAACAGCGTGGAAGAGTTCAGCCCCTAGTGAGGGTTTCTCTTCCAAGACGTCTCCCCAGCGTGGAAGAGTTCAGCCCCTAGTGAGGGTTTCTCTACCAAGACGTCTTGAACAGCGTGGAAGAGTTCAGCCCCTAGTGAGGGTTTCTCTTCCAAGACGTCTTGAACAGCGTGGAAGAGTTCAGCCCCTAGTGAGGGTTTCTCTACCAAGACGTCTTGAACAGCATGGAAGAGTTCAGCCCCTAGTCAGGGTTTCTCTACCAAGACGTCTTGAACAGCGTGGAAGAGTTCAGCCCCTAGTGAGGGTTTCTCTTCCTTTAAGACGTCTTGAACAGCGTGGAAGAGTTCAGCCCCTAGTGAGGGTTTCTCTACCAAGGCGCCTTGAACAGCGTGGAAGAGTTCAGCCCCTAGTGAGGGTTTCTCTTCCAAGACGTCTTGAACAGCGTGGAAGAGTTCAGCCCCTAGTGAGGGTTTCTCTACCAAGACGTCTTGAACAGCGTGGAAGAGTTCAGCTCCTAGTAAGGGTTTCACTTCCAAGACGTCTTGAACAGCATGGAAGAGTTCAGCCCCTAGTGAGGGTTTCACTTCCAAGACATCTTGAACAGCGTGGAAGAGTTCAGCCCCTAGTGAGGGTTCCTCTACCAAGACGTCTTGAACAGCGTGGAAGAGTTCAGCCCCTAGTGAGGGTTCCTCTACCAAGACGTCTTGAACAGCGTGGAAGAGTTCAGCCCCTAGTGAGGGTTTCTCTACCAAGACGTCTCCCCAGCGTGGAAGAGTTCAGCCCCTAGTGAGGGTTTCACTTCCAAGACGTCTTGAACAGCGTGGAAGAGTTCAGCCCCTAGTGAGGGTTTCTCTACCAAGACGTCTCCCCAGCGTGGAAGAGTTCAGCCCCTAGTGAGGGTTTCTCTTCCAAGACGTCTTGAACAGCGTGGAAGAGTTCAGCCTCTACTGAGCGCCCTCTAGTGGAGGCCCTTTTGCCAGCAGTGATTACGATCAAACAATTTCAGATCTGCGCCTTAAACCTTTTTACGTTCACAGCACTTGGCAAAGACGTTTTGAGGGAAAGTAGATTTAAAAAATAAAAAAACTGTGTATTTGTGCTTGTACATGACTTGATCGAGTTTTCGGTTGAAATGGAGTAATAATAATCAGTTCAACACGTAGGCTTTCGCGACCAATTATATTCGTATAATAAATGTTTTTTTGGTTATATCGCGTAAAGTATGAATGTGTAAATGTTGTGGATTTACTCTCCGACACACCGGTGGGCCGAAGTAGTAATTCACTGGCGCGTTTTGTTTACGTGACAAACCTCACTGGCTGGGTCGGGTGGTGGAGGGTAACGACACACACTTACGCGAGCCAACCCAAGAACGTTTATCGCGAATAATCGGTCATCGGGCAGCGGAAAATCTTGATGTGTTCACGACACTACAGCTTGGGAAGCTGCTGACACACGCTCCTCATGCCGTGTGTTGTGTTTGGTTGGTTTTTTTTCTTCGCAGAATAAAGATCACGTGTCAAGGACGTA